AGATGCTCTCCCCCCACCCGTGCCGCCATGAGCTGTCTGTGCGGTGTGTGCTCCTGCAGAATTCTGTGCGCTGTGCGCGGTTCGGGCATTGCGGTGTGGGAAGGGTACTCGGCTATGAGGAGTGCCCAAAGGAGGCTCTGAAGATGGTGAAGGGCCGAGAGGGAAAGCCATACAAGGAGCGGCTGAGGTGACTTGGTGTGCTCAGCCTGGAGAAGAAGAGACTGAGGACAAACCTCATAGCTGTAAACAATTCCCTCCCCAGGGGCAGTGCAGGGGCAGCACTGACCTCTGCGCTCTGGGCCCAGCGAGGGAATGGCCTGAAGTTGTGTCAGGGGAGGTTTAGTTTGGATATCAGGAAGAGCTTCTTCCCCCAGAGGTGTTTGGGCACTGAACAGCTCCCCAGGGCAGTGCTCACAGCCCCAAGCCTGACACAGCTCCAGGAGCATTTGCCCAGTGCTCTCAGCACAGGGTGTGATTGCTGGGGATGTCTGTGTGGGGACAGGAGTTGAACTCAATGATCCCTGTGGGTCTATCCCAGCTCCAAATAGGCTGTGTTTCTGTGAAAGTAGTGCTTCCCTTGTGGTATTTTTAACAGGAAGACGTGGTCTATGTTTCAAAGAGATAGTGCTGGTAACAGCCCAAGGAATAGCTATATAAGCATGTCATGTATTAACAGAGTGTGAGATAGTGCTGGTAACAGCCCAAGGAATGGCTATATAAGCATGTCATGTATTTACAGAGTGTTTGGCATGGTAGACACACCTTCAGTTTATGCATCTTTGCTGTATGTCCTGTGTTTGTGTAGGTTTTGTCCAAGATTTTGTCCAGGAGTTTTTAAGTCATATATGGCACGGATCTTTTAAAAACAAATTTAGCTTATTCAGCAGAAAACCCAAACATCTCAGGGAGCCATCAAACAAGGATAAAAGCAAAAGTGTGCAGATATGAGAAGGAAATAATTATATTAAAATTCTTTTCTCTCAGTGGGTGTGTTTACAGCATAGGATTGTTCCGGGAAATGGATTTGATGTAATCAAAGACCTAGCTGAGTTTGTGCACAGGCTGTTTTTCTGCTGTACTGTTGTGAAGAGAGGAGGAAGGGCACTGCCCGACCTTCCTTGGTAGTGAAAGAGACAGAATTCTGCCTCGTTGTTTTCTTCCACAGTCTGTATTTCTGCGACAGAGGGGGAAAGGTCCTGCCTTAGCAGCTTGATGGTGAGAACTCAAATTGGAGTGTTCTTTCAAGCCATTTTTAATGCCAATATGGTTTGGGAATCAATGTGTGGAAAGCTAGACAAACGCGAGGAGCTCTGTGGGAGTCAGCAGCCTGTTTCTCTGCGTGGTAATCACACCAAGAGGGATTTGCAGGATTATAGTTCAGTCTTTTGCCGTGTAGATTGGTCACCCTCATGCTGTGGCACTTGTGTGACTGCTGCAGTGTGAGCTGCTGCTGAAATCTGTCATGTGCTGCTGAGTGCCCCTTGCGCTGGGCCCTGTGGTATCTGACTCAGGGGAGTAAATAGGCTGGAAAGTGCCTGGATGAATAATACATGGTCAGAGTTTGGTTTTTTTTACTGGATTTGGCTGCAGCTAGTGATGGACGAGTATGAAGGCAAAGCTGCTACTGAGACTTTTCTCTTTGGTAACATCCTGTTGCAATAAGAGCTGAAACCTCAGTTGTGCTTTGAGCATTAGGAGAAACTTGTTTCATAAAATTAAGCAGCATCTGTTGTGTCTCATGGAATTTGTGAAAGATAAGACTGTCCTGCTGTTGTGAAGAGGAGATTAATGGCACTGAGTGTGGAGTGGATGCAGAGAGTGATTACCAATGCAGCAGAGCATGCAAGATGAAGAGCAGGGTGAGGGGTTGGCATGGATGCAGTAAGGTGAAACCTTGACAGTGAGAGTGAGCAGTTTGAACTTAGAGGGGAAAGACAAATTATCTGTCGCTGCAACCTTTAGAGAGGGGCACCACAGAAGATTTGGTCTCCGTGCTTCTCTTATGCATGATGCCTGAGAGTGCCCTGGACACAGGCTGCTAGAAGAAGAGAAATGATTATCAAAAACTTTCCTGAATTGTGTTTGGATGTACTGCAAAGAAAAGGGATGGAGTTGAGTGCTCCAGCATTCAAAGGCAGCTTTAACTTGCTATCTGTACCCCAGAAGTAAAAACCATTGTTGTTTGACTTCATGCTGGGTAATGAAAGTTTCATCAGTTTTGTTTACCACCATGATGTGGGAAACTTGTCAATATTTAGTGTCATTGATGTAAATAAAAACACAGCAGTAAGGAGCAGTGTAGGTATCCAGGCAGGAGTGCTGCAGGTGAGGTAAACAAAATGGTTGCATCAGTCAGAACTGGAAATGAGCTAAAATAGTCATAAATGAAATACAAATGCACCAGCATGTGACATCTAGTGAGTCATTCTGTCCTCTTTGTACCAGGGTAACTCTTTTATGTGTCTGGAAATGAGGTTTTTGCTGAGAACAGATTTGATGTTGCAGCTCTGGAGTAGTTATGAGGGCAGGTTTTTACTTAGAGGTTCTGTAATTCCCATCCCCAAGCCCATGGCTCTTTGTTAGCTTTAATGTTGGGAAAGGTCCTTAGGAGAAACCAGTTTGGCCTTGTAGGTGATGTAGGCCATAAATTGCAGTCTGTGATTCCTGGGTTTAGCTTTGAAGTGAGAAACAACTTTAAAAACAGTCTCTGCTATCATTCTGCATTCTTTTAGAGATAAGCTGTGTGCTAATGTTTGTAACAAACTGTTTTCCAAATTCAGGACTTTAGGATAAGCTGTGTGCTAATGTTCATTATAAACTGCCTTCCAAATTCAGGACTGATCTGTGAGTGCATAGAGATTAGAAAGGACATGTGATTTTCCTCTGGATGTTGCTAGTTGAGAGTGAAAATCCCTGAGCAGGTGCAGTGCTGGTTGTATGTTTGAGACATGCAGCAGTCACAGCAGTTAAAGCAGTTTGATGTTCTTTAATTGTTCTAGTTTTAATGTGTGATTTTGTAGAAGTCTGCATGGATGTAATCCCTGTTGTGCTTCAGTGACAGGCAGTGTTTAAGGTCAGGTTAAATATTAGCAACTATATGTGGTTTCTGTCTTCTATTTATATGTTGGAGAAGCAGCTGTGCTGAATAATACTCTGTGGCATTTACTCTTTAAAGACTTTGGATTATTTTTGGTGATATTGGCATTTGAATGACTAGCAGTTTTTAGACAAGGCATTTTATGCATGCTTTAGATATAATTTCCTTACTTCTCAACCACTAGTTATGTGGTGGAGGTCAGAGGTTGCTGTGAGACTTGAACCCAAGCATTTCACAGTGAAATATGTAGGGAGGAGTATGAGGTAATGGCAGTTGTTATTTGAGAGTCTCTGATACTTAGCATGGTATTATTTCATTTGTTTCCCTAGCCATCGTGGAAATATGTGGAAATGGGGTAGTGGAGATGATTCTCCTTCCAAAACAGCAGTAAGTAATGATTTACTATTAATATCTGCTTAAGACTTTCTGACATAGGGAGTATTTCATTTTTTGACACACTGATCATACGTATTTGCTCTTTTCTAAAGAAGATGTTTGACTAGTTTTACCATGACACAATTTTAGGCATATGTCAGGTTGTGCTCTTGTTTCTTATCTAGCTGATACTTAATTTCTCTCATGCATAACACAGCTGCTGTACTCCTCTTCTCTTGCCTTGAGGAAACATCTGTAGGAGTTACATAAGCTTTATCCCAAGTGGATTTTTGTGCAGAGTATGTTCAGCATCAATATTTTACCCATATTTGTTTTATTTAGTACCACTGCTGGTTGTTCCAAGGCAAATCCCATGAATGAGGAAATTCAGTGTTAGGATGCTTTGGTGGTTTTTCTGTATTTCAAGCTAATATTCCTAAATCAGTTTATAACATTTATAATTTAATGTGTCTATCAAAGGTGCTAGAAACAGTTGGGTACAGGTTTGTACAATACATGTAAGTTTCAGTATTGAACTTGAATAAGCTTTGCTGAATGTTTGAGAACAACCCAAGCAAATGCCAAGTGAAAACTTTTCGAGGAGCAGTGTTGTCTGTCCCATTGTGTTTGATCCAAGCCCTGGATGTGTGCAGGCTGCAGCCTCCCAGGATGCAGGAAGCATGTCTGTGACAGATCTGACTGAACAGCTGACAAGCACTGAGCAGCTGGTGGCACAGCTAAAGGAGCTTGTCAGGGAGAAGGATGCTGAGCTTCGGAATAAAGACCTTCAGTTAAAGGTACCGTGTGTGTGTCCTGTCAAAAACATCATTTCAAAAACCCCTTGAGTCCTTTTTATAATGTTTTTGTAGATACAACCTCATAGTCTGGCATAGAACAACAGGAGCACAGGTTTGTTGTTCACAGGGAGCTGTTCTGCTTCCTGGATATTCCTGCTTTGTCCCAGCATGTGTCTGTTCCAGGATTGCACTAGAAGGAATTTATATCTAATATTCCAAAGACTTTTGAGGGTTTGTTATTCTTTACTCAATTGTTTTTGAAACAGACATAAGGTTGGTGTGTTCCTGCAAGAGACCTAATTTCACATATGTAAAATGCCTTCTGTGGATATGAACAGTGTTAAAACAATGAATTTTTTTAAAAACTCACTGTACATTGTCTCTTTAAACAAAATGAAATGAGCTTTTATAGCACTATGAAGTTGTCTTTCTTTCTGCATAAAAAATAATTCTTGTTAAAAAAAAAATCAAGCCCAGAGTTTGTATTGCTATGAAAAATTTTATCATAATGCTCTGGATTCTGTACAATAATAATAATCATGTGCAGAAAGTTCAGATAATTAAAGTTGTTTCACCTATTCAGACCTGCTGCATGTGACATTGTAATGTCTCTTCGGGGGAGATGTGTTTTGTAATCACTTCAGATTCCTCCTTCTTTTGTTTTAATGGAAGTATTGAAGGATGCAGTTGTCTGTGAGCTAATTTAGTCCTTCATGACTTTGTTTGTAGGAGGAGAAGGAATCTGCTGATGCCAGACTTTCCAAGTTGAAGCTGCAGAACAAAGCCAAGGTTGCATCACTAACCTCACAGCTGGAAGAACTTAAGAAACAGTTACCGGTATCAGGAGGCTTAGAAGCCAAAGCAGAACCAAAAAAGGTAAGTGTCCTCCTATTTTAAAGCAGATAGAATTTCTGGGAGGCTGTAGGCAATTTTCCATGCTCAGAGTTTTAACACATGTGAATCAGGAAGATAAGGTTTTGAGAAGCAATGGAAACAAAACCTCATTTGTTCCTTAGGAAATGTAAAACTGTTCTTGGTAGCAAAATGTAGAAGTGTTGGAACATCTTGTTTAAGTGACAGGTGGTTTACTGTTAACAGAGATTCTCAGGTCTGTTTGCAGTTGCACAATTGTGCAAGTAGACTAATATTTCTTCAGACTAGCATATTTGGACCTCATAAAAGTTCTAAAATAACTTTAGTGAGGCTTTAGTATTTCTAGGGCATTTGTTTTCTAAATGTGTGCTGAAAGGAGACAATAACATCCGTTTGTTGCAGTCCCTGGTTGTCCTCAGAAACATGTAGTAACTCATTATGTCTGACCTATTTTGCTAATAAAACATAAGCCTAGCAACTGCACTTGGTTTTTTATAATGGCAAGTAATTTCTATAACCTATAGAAATTCTGATTGAAAACATTCTATTTAGGAATGGTTTTAATTTATGCTTTTTTTCCCCCCAGTAGTTCTGTTTTCCCTCTGAGATATGTGGACTACACTTGCCAGATGTTATGGGTTACAGTGAATGCCCTTACTGCATGTTCCAGTCCTCTTTGCAGCAATAATTGTCATTAATAATTGAAAGACAAAGAGTTTTCCAAGCTTAGTACAAATTCTGTGCCTGTTTTGTCCAGATTCTGTGTGGAATATATAATATAGAAGAGAACTGAAACACAAACCATAAATAAAGTCTATTTTTTTCCCACCAGGATCATCTCACAAACCATAAATAAAGTCTATTTTTTTTCCCACCAGTATCATCTGGCTAGGTAGAGAATCTGGCTAGAGGATCCAGGTGTTACCTGTTCATGGAATGCAAACCTTCCTGTTTTTGCAGGCATCAAAAGATGGTGACCAGGAAAATGCTGCAGCAAATCGTGGGAAAATCTTAGTGCTGAGAAGAAGAATTGAAGAACTAGAATCCCAAATCACCCAAAAAAATGAAGAGTTACAAAAAAAGGTGATTTTTCTTACAATGCCAAACGTGTGGCTTTTCACATTTGTGGTATGGGATTATGTTTAAATGTGTTTCTTTAAGTATGTATTTCATTACATACTGCTGAGCAGATGTTCTGACACTTTTCTGTTGAGTAGAGGAGAAATAAGTCCTGTATGCTACAACCTGCCTGAGCAAATGCAGTGGGAATTCTGTCACTGTGTCTTCAGTGAGCAGTGAAGCTGGATGAATGGAAGAGAATACACAAAGATGAACTTTGTGGGTCTATGTCAAATTTAAATCTTGTATTTTGAACAAAAATGCTGTATTCTTTCAGTTTTTCTGGTTGCAAAATCAAGTCATAACAGGAAGAAACGTAGGCAAGGGCTGATTGCATGGTAACTGTTGTGTTTTGTGGCCATGTGGAAGGTGGCAGGAGGGTGAATGCTACAGAATTTTAGAGGGAAAGGTTCAGTAAATACGGATTAAAGTGAAAATTGAAGCAGTTATACATTTGATTGTCATTTTTTGAGTACCCTAATGCAGACAGTAAGGAAATGATGCAAACCATTCTTGTGTGCTGTGGGTGGTGGAAGTACAGATCACAGGCAGCAGTGCCTTTTCCTTTTGATATTCCTGTTTCCCTTCCATGACTTTCAGAGTGTTGAGCTGGAGGCCCAGCGCTGCCGTGGGGCTGAAATGGATTCCATGCTGGCAGAGAGGGAGAAGAAGATAGCAGAAAGGGATGCTTACATCACAGATTTGCAGGTGGCCTGTGGCTCCAGTGGTGCTGCCAATGAAGTGCTCCTGCCCAATGAAGAACTCAAGGTACATTAGCAGCTCAAGTACAAAATCTCCATAGAGCTTTCAAGAAATCAATTGATTCGAATGTGTTATGTGGTGGATCCCTCTGTGAAGCACAAATACTCTGCAGTTAGTTCATGTGAATAAAACTTCTTTACCGATTGTTTGTATTTATATATATATTTAGTTACTTCTTTTATCATTGCCATTTATACCAATCAGTAGCAGGTTTAGAATCTGCTGCCAAATCTCATTCCAGTTATACCAAATCTGAATTTTGAGTTGAATGTTGCTTGAACTGAGGGAAGGGCTAGAAGGTGCCTTCAGGGTTTGGTCTCTTCTCCCAGGCAACCAGCAGCAGGACAAGAGGGCACAGACTCAAGCTCTGCCAGGGGAGGGTTAGGTTAGATATTAGGAAGAGATTTTTTACAGAGAGAGTGATCAGACACTGGAATGTGCTGCCCAGGGAGGTGGTGGATTCACCATCCCTGGAGGTTTTCAAGCTGAGACTGGATGTGGCACTTAGTGCCATGGTCTAGTAACCACAGTGGGGTTGGACTTGATGATCTTGGAGGTCTTTTCCAAGCTGGCTGATTCTCTGATCTTTTCTATGGGTCCATTCTGTTGATTGCCTTTTGGTTTGCATTACAGAATCAGCTGGCAGCCAAAGAGTCATCCCTGCAGAGCATGGAGATTCTGGTTCAGAATCTTACCAAGAAGGTTGGAGACAGTGAAGAAAAATGTAGCTTGTTCCAGGAACAGATTGAGAGTCTTAAAAACATTCAAAACAAGGAAAGAGAGCGTTTCCAAGGAAAAGAAGCCACATATATGGAAAATGTAATTAAACATACTGTGAAAACATTGATGTTCTTTGGTGGAAGAAATTTCTTCTGTAGTGTTTAGGAAATGGCATTTTTTTGTTTTAGATGATTCTTGAGTAAAGAACTATGTGATGTTCAGATGAAATTGTTAATGATACCTAAAAATATAAGAGTAGCTAGGGAGCATATTACCCACTCCTTGATGTTCCCAGACTTTTCCATCTCCCTTGGAAGCTAAACCTCAGGTTTTAATGTGTTGTGTGTGATCTCTTAGCATTTGAGTTCTACCACATATTTATTCGAGTATTTCCCACATCATTTGATGTCTATTTTACCTGTAACAAAAATGCTACTTTTGATCCTGATCTGACTACACCTGTTCAGCAGCACACAGGGAATTAAGTTTTGGTACAGGAGAGAAAAGACTGACAATTGAGACTGTAAAAGCCATTTTGGTGAGCACAGTGTTGTTTACTTACACCTTTATGGTTTGGTTTCATATTTACTTTCCTTGTGGGTTTAGGTACGTGTGTTTCAAAATATTATCCAGGAAAAGGAAAAGGAACTGGAAGCACAGAGAGAGAAGCATGAGCAGGAGCTCTTTAGATTAGCTGCTAAATCTGATGCAAGTGCTGACCTGGAACAGGTATGTTGCTTTGGAAACTCAGTAGCTTGAATTTGGAGTCCTGTAATTACTAAGCTCTGTGACACAGGTTCAGGTGTTTGTTTGGGAAAATGAAGCTAAGTCATTATCTTCTGAAAGTTTTAACTTCTTTATAGATTGCTATAGATTGATTTTTATTTTTATTTTTTCCATTTTTTTTCTAGCTGCTAAAGGCTTTGAAACAGAAGCTCCATGAAAAGGAAGAAGTCATGCTGGGAAGGACACAGGTGATAGATGTCTTGCAAAAAGAGCTGGATGCCAAGGATCAGCAATTGGAAGTAAGGAATAGCTTTAGTGCACAACTAAACTCATCAGGTCATTTACAGCTTCAAAAAGCTGTTTGGGTGTGCACAAAAGAGAGTTTTGCATCAAATATTTAGGCAGTTCTTTGGGAAGCTTTGATGTGCTAATAATGTTGTGTAAACAAGTATTTAATTCCAGTTAGGAAATTACAGAATCATTTAGGTTGGAAAAGACCTCTGAGACCATCAAGTCTGACCTGTGACCTAACACCACCATGTCAACTAGACCATGGCACTGAGTGCCATGTCCCATCTTTCCTTAAACACCTCCAGGGATGAAGGAAATTAACTTAAAGGAGAGGTAAAGTGCATAAAATATAAAACTCTCAACTCTCACTCATATCTTGACCTGATTCATTTTGGGAACTTGCTGTACAGGGAAAACCTTTTGCTGTCAAAAGCTTCTCTAGAGACTGCAATAAGCCCCAAAACAGGCTTTTTCTCTCCCCTAAAGGGAGTGCTTTGTTAGTTTTGTGCCTTTCCTTTTGCTGTATTGCTAATGATTGCAAAAGCAATACCTACTCAAGGTTCTTTCTGTTTAAGCACCTGGTGGGACTCTGATTTTAGCCTCTGAGTGATGTTCAGCAGTGTAGAAGGAGGACATTGTAGTCCTTTTTTCTTTATTGGATGTAGGTAACAACACCTTGGTGACATTGTAGTGACCATGCTTGATACTTGAGATCACAGTACTCTCATTTCTGGTTACAAAGTATGTAGGAATGCAGGTCTAATATTTGGCAATTGTAATAAAAATGCTTTGCATTAAAATAGAAATGTTTTTGTGTGTTGTATTTTTTTTACAGGAGATTAACGAAAACCTGAAACGTGTTCTGTCTGAAAAAGAAAACCTCCAGTCTAAACTGGATGCTGAGAAACATGTAATGAGAGCCCAGTTAAAAGACATGATGGAGAAACATGAGCTTGAAATGACAAAAGTTAAGGAGAAATATAATGCTGAACTGCAGGAAATTCAAGAGAAACATGAAACTGAGCTGCAAGAGAAAGATCAGGCCATGGTTCGGCTTCGGAAACAAGTGGCAGAATTGAGAGACAGTGCACAAACTAACTCCACAGAGGTTAAAGATGTGGATTCTCTAATCAAAGAGAAGATGGAGGATTTGGAAGGTATCCTGTTAAACAGGTGTCGCATGAAGGGTTTCTTTGCCCCAGACTGTTATGTAGTGTAGGCCAATTCCATACCTGCTGCAAGCAAAACTACATGAAATTTGGTGGAATAGCTTATTACCACACTAATTAAAGTCTTTGTGATCAAGTACTGTCATAATGAGTGTTAGAGGATCATCAAGATCACAGGAACTATAAATTCCTCACTACATTTCTAATGATGTTCTTCTGTAAATGCTGTTGTCTTGTGTAGGTGTATAACTTCCAATTGCTAAAGGAATGAGCACAGGTCTTGTGTTAATAATCTTTCTGTGGTTTTAAATAGTCTTTGCTCCTTGTTCCTTAGTACAAGTGAAGCTGAAGACAGAAGAGGCCAGCAAATCTGAAGCAAAGTTCCTGAAAATGAAGGCCTGGTCTAAATCAAGAATCAAACAACTGGAAGATGAACTAAAAAATGTATGTATAATAAACTTCATGATCAATACTCCATGTCTCTCTTAAACTACTGTGCTTGGAGATTTGATTGGCAAAAAGTGAAATATGGGATAAATGGTCTATTAAAACAGTTTAGTCAAAGTGTCTTTATAGATGAGTTGATGTATAAAAAGAGAACAGGCATAAAATGTCGATACAAGATGAAATGAAAACAACAAATACTGCAAACTGCCATTACCAGAATTGAGGAGTTAGTTTGTTAGAGATTATCTACTTTATTGCACTTCCAAATATTAGAAAAACATCCTAAATATTGAAAAAAAAAATCGGAAAAAAAGGTTGCTTTGACTTTGCTGTGGTTTTGCTGTGTTTGAAAAACCCATAACTCTTTTTTCTTGTAGTTTTCCTCAAAGAACAATGATGTATCTGCCTTAAACAGTCGTGTCTCGGAATTAGAAGTTGAAAATGAAGAACTACAGTCAAAACTGCAATCATTACATGAAACCAGAACTCAGAATGGTAAAAGAAAAGCTTTTCCTTTTGCACATGATTTAAAGGAAAGAGGCAAATGAACTTTTTCATTTTCAAAACAGACTCTGAAGTAACTTCATGCAACTCTGACCAAGAGCATACAGTGTTTAAGTCAGAGTTCTAGCTCAGCTTTTCCTTCCCTAAATCTACCTGTGAATAATTCTTGTTGCAATTAGGGTCAGGCAGAACAGGTGTAAACTTTTGAGGAAGTGGAAGGGACATCTTAGGAGGAAAAATGAGACTTGGAATATCTGTCAGCACATATGCAATAAACTTTTGAGAGCAGTGAGTTGCAGGTAAATGAAGAATTACCTTCTATAAGGATTTGGCAGAGAACTTATAACCTCAGATAATTTAAAGTAGAGGTGTGTGAGAGATTATTCATTTCACCTTGTGTTATTTTCACTTCACCAGTCGAAATAAGAAGATTAGATTTAAATCCCTTTCAATGTTTAATAATCAAGGAGTCAACTTCATGTGTAGGTGGATGGCACAGCCCAGCAGAGATTTTCCATCTGAAATGAGTTAGCACCTGAATTCTCATTTTGAATAGTTCTTTTACATTTCCCTTCATCTTCCTATTCGTTTTGTGTCCTAATGAACCAAATTTCTCATGTTTTTTAGAAGAACTGCTGAAAAAGCTGGAGCTGTATGAAGAGCAGCAGAGGAAGCTGCAGGCTGATCTTGACCAAGTTACAAAGAGAGCAGCTTCACAGGTTAACCTGAAAATTGATTTGTATGACTTCCTGATTAATGGTGCTAATTAGGCTTTGAAAAGTGTCAGTTGGATTTTGGAACTGGAAATGAATACAGTGATAGATGGAAGTGGCAGTGGCAGTAGCTGTTCAGTTGAATAACAAGATGACAGGTTTGGAATTACTTAAAAAGATTGATTTCTACCTACTTTGCCACATACCTTAAATTACATTTTTCCAAGCAGTTTACTATTTATTCAGTTATATTTATTGAGTCATCAAAGTGTGGCTGTTCTGTTGTATGCAAAATAATTGTTGATATCAAATTTATGAAGTCAAGTCGTGTTTTTCACGTGATCTCTGATAACAGTTATTATTTTCATAGATATTTATGCCAAGTGGTGAATTATAATGATTTTCCAGCTTCAAATGTTATTTACATTTACAGTGAGATTTGGTCCATATATTTTAATGTACAATTTCTCTTGTTAGGCCAGTGAATCAGGTAGTGTGGATGAATTGCAGAGTCAGCTCCTGGAATGGCAGGAAAATGTCCCAGAGTCAGAGGAATCCCGTGACCAAGTCAGAGAAGAGAAATCTGCCATGGCCTTGAGAATGGCTCAGATTGAGGAGGAGAGAGAAGGTGAATTGGTTTGTTTATCATACAATAATCCCATTTTTATATACATCTCTGTGTGTGTGTGTGTGTGTGTGTCTGCTGTGCTTCAGAGCGAGTTGATAGCACACCACCACCACCACTCACTTCTGTCACAAGAAAAGTTGTCTAGGTAGTGAAATTGCTTAAATTTGCAATTTCGATTTTCCTATTTCCTTTTGGTTTTCGTACATTCGTCTTTTTTGTACCATTTTTGAGTAGTTGTGCTTGTTCTGTTTGCCACCTGAGCTGCTGCTCTGTAAGGCTACTTGAACTGACTTCCAGAGCTTATTGTCTGCATATGATAAATGATAGAAAACCCTTTTTATCAGTGAGAAAAAGTTCCCTGTTGAAATGCTAAAACTTCGTGCCTAAAGCAGCTGGTGAAGGTGTGGAGCACTGCAGTGTTGGTTTGAATTTGGTGAATGAAGGTGTTGCTTTAGCAAAATGGACTTTCTCCTTGAGAAATTTCTCATTAATTATGTTGAGAGTATTTAGTAAGTGTCATTTGTATAGGTTAGGTGAATCATGTTAACTGGCAGTGGTTTGAAACGAGTTAAAAGTATTAAATTACCTCCAGAAGATAACATTTCGAGTCATCTCAGGTTTTATAGTGTTCTGAATTATTAATAAAACAGATGATGAGAACCTGAAGTAGCTTCTATTAAAACTTAGCAAAGTCTGGTTAAATTTCAGAGAGTTTTTACTTCTTTTTCCATGCATTCTGGTACTACATTATAAATTCTGTCCTGTTAGCTGTGTGGGGATTAATGGCAAATTTTAATGCATAGAACCTCCCATCATAAGTAATCCAATTAGTTCATTGGAGCCTTCACTTTTTAATCTGTGATTGAGTTATTTCATGATCCATTTGGAAGTTCAGTATTAAGCACAGAAAAGTTTTAAGGAGCACAACTCTTCTTTTTTGAGGGATTTATGCACGTAATGCCTTGGGATTGCAAGAGAACAATATTCCCTTCATTAAACCTACCTGTTACCTCCTCTGTGGTGACCACAGAGCCACATGCAATATTAATAACAGTTGTACAATTTCCTCTGTGTCAGTCCAGGTTTAATTTTGCATTTTTTCCCCTTGGGAGAAGCATGACCTTTCTGTTTCTTTTTTTCCTGCCGTTACACCTGGTGAGCCCTCAGCGTCCCTTCCCCCTCCACTCCTACCCTCCACTGGGATTTGGGCAGCCAGGGAGAACAGTTTCCCATCAGTTTTGTGCATGCAGGTGCCTGCAGCAATGGCAACTTGTAATGTACTGCTGCTGATTTCTTCTGCTGTTGCTTCTCTTGGGGAAATTGCCAGCAGTACCTTATAGGATTTGCCATTGATGGTATGTGGTTTTTAGCAATACATGTAACAAATGCTTAAATGCTGGGGTTTAACTTGGGTTTCTCCTGCCTTGCAACACCTGTTTCTTCTTATTAACCAAATCATCTTTCTTCACTTTTCTTTCTAGTAACAGCTGACTCCATATTTTTGGTGTAACCTTATCTAGAGAAAAAATTCTTGGCTTGCCGCAAGTGGTTGTGACTAAATAAGAATCAAATTCACTTACATATTCTTAGTAGCACCTGAAATTCAGTAGTATTTAAAAAAAATTCTATTCCACCCCATCAATTGCAGAACTTTGTGTGCATTAATGTTGGCTCCCAGTGTTTTAAGTAATATATAACCTCATTGTTCATTCCATCGTGGTCTGTGGCAATTTGCCACATGTGGCAATTGTCTCTTTTGGGCTGAATTTATGGGGAGCAGCAAAGGCATAAAGGATGACAATATTCATTGCATTTATAGCCTTGGGCTTGTTTCCTCTGCCATCACTAGAGATTGTGGTATTGGTGTGAACAGTGAATCCAGACTGTAAATAGTGAATCCAGGGGAATTCCGACATGTCATTAGGTGCAGTGTGGATCTGAAAATATGTGTTCTGGGAGGTTTTTCTTTTTTTAATGTTAGATAATTGCAGATACAAAGCTTCCTAAGCTGCTGTAAAACATTAAAAAATATATTTACTTACGAATTGTTAAAGCAATGCTCAGTTTAACTGAAAGTATTTTAACACTTGTCTGAGTGTCCTAAAGCTCTGATTTCAGTTCTTCCATTTTTCTTGTGACAATGGTAATTTCATTGTTTTTTCAGTATCAAATACTTAGGAGCCTAAATGTATTGGGTTGGCAGTGTGAAAGAAGGGGTTACATTCTTCTCTGGAGTCATTCTAATTCTTTGAGATCTCTTCATTGACCATTCATGTAATCACAGGTTTAAGGCCTGTGATCAAAGTTTGTCATTTATTTTTACAGCATTGAAAAAGTATTTATAGTGATAAAAAATGTAGAATCTATACTTGAAAATAACCAGAAGTGTGTAAAACACTGGTAATAGTGGCCGTGCCAGGAGTCAGAGTGGACTGAAATCAGAAGTGTAACTCAGTTTACCAATCCCACTTTAAAAGGGTCATTCATATTTTTCATTTAACCTTTTTCCTCTAATCTTTTCTGACAACATTTTAGACATGCCACTTTGAAATATTACAGGAAGAATTTAAATCTAGCAGGTGCTACAGAATTGTGTGTTAATGAAATCTCTGGTATAAGCAATCCTTGGATAACTCCAGTGACAGCAGAGTATTCCCAGTTGGGGAATCTCCAGACAGTTTCTGGTGTTTACCTCACAGATGCATTGACATAAGTTCTCTGCATTTTGCATGCTGTGAGGCCAGCTATGGACTGATGTGGTTAAACTGAAAGGAAAATTTGTAATTATCTAATGAAGTTAATTCAAATTAAAGTATGGAGTCACCTTTACTTTCCCTTCTTTTCCCTGGTTGTTCTGTGTTGTCTGCTTTGCATGAAATGTCTGTTTCCTAATCTGTTCCCCCAAACTTGTTTTGTCGTATCACAAAACAGATGGGAATGTACTTTGAATGAAAAATCATTTCTAACCATGACCAGGATCCATACCTGAGCTTTCATATTCTCAGTTATTCAGTGTGTTTATTTACTAGTGATTCTGTATTTGTCTTAAAATGAATGAAAATACTAATTGATGATGAGATGGTTTGATGCCAGTTTGCAGTGTAACATGTGCTTGTGACTTCCTCAAGTTATTTGGCTTTATAGTTCAGACTAAAATTAAGGGGACACTTGTAGTTTTCATAAATGAATGTGATTGTTGAGATTATTAAAACCACAGCTTTTGCAGCTGGTGCCTCTGTCATACAAATTAGGTGTATTTTAGCCTGGGAAATGGAATTAAGATGTAATTTGGCATTTTAATTGATTGGCTTTTTTCATTAGTACCTGTATAACCTCACCCTTTCCAGTCTCCTTTATAAAGTCTCCATTTAATGCTAACTAATGAAGAAGGGAAGATAGACCTCAGTTTGTTTCTTCTTAGTGAGATACTCAGACTTTATGAGCGTTTTCCATAGTAACGTTGGAGGGAAATCACAAGGTGAACACGATGGATTTTAATCTTTGCTCTTGTTCCTGTCAGTCATTCATAGGGACTTCACCCTGTCCCTGGTCTCTTTTCATGTAGTAGTGTCTGATATAAATGTAATTGCTTTCCTGTGGCACAAAACTGATTGAGGATGACTGGTTCTTTCCTGGCTGCTCCGATCCAGCCATAGTCTCAGGGCAACAGGAGCTGGAGGAGGAACTGGCCACAGTTCAAGGAATGGGCAGGCTGCAGCAGGCAAGAAGAAAAGGCAATCAGACCAGCAGGAAGCTTCAGGTGGGTTAAAAGAGATAGAAGTGTAAGTTTCCCTGTAGGTTAATAAAAAGTACTGTTATTTATGTGATGCTTTAGACTTCAAAACATTAAGGGTTAAGAACACGGATCAGTTACGGAACTGAACACATTGGTAAGTTCAATGATTGTGGAAGTAGTGTCAGTGCATTCAGGTGTGCTTCTAGGTAGTTGGTGCTGTAACTTGCACAAAAAACATTACAATCTTTTGAAAGAAGAGTGAAGATGTCGTTGTCACATCAACACATCATTGGGAGAATAATTTTATAATTAGTTACCTGGTACTTCAGAGAATAAACTGTAGAAATGAGGGGACCAATTAAGGTATCCAAACATAGTTATCCATTGGCCTCTCAGATGCCCAAGGGTGTCTTCAAAGGCCTGGCAGGTACCTTGTAAAACCTGTGGGAGACTTGGCTTTTCTGGAAATAATAGCTGGAAGCCGGGCAGGATACTGTGATGTCCACAGAAATTCCACAGAATTACACTTAGGCATCTGAATCACTTGCAGAGCTTTAGGACTTTGAACTGAAACTGTGCTTTTAGGAACAGAATATGTATGTTGCTTCCTTCCTTCTTTAAATTCAATTTCATCCCCATGTTTCATGTGTAGGATGAATACAACTTTGATGGAAAACAAAGCTTTCAAGAGCTGAATGTCACCTTGGATAGCACTGATTCAGCTGAAGGAGAAAACATGGGAGGTTGGTGGCCAGAGTACACTTCACCTAATGCAGGTGTGATAGCGACTAGACAGTTGATTAAAGCATGCACACAGCATCTGTACTTTGTGTCTATTTTTGTTTGCAAATTCAACTAACAACCCATTTGTGGTGTATTCTAATCTTTGTTGAATTTTTTTGGCTTGCATCTCCTTTTCATTTTCCAGCATGTGCGTGCCTGATGAACTGCCTAGTTCTGCCTCACAAGTAAAGCATCAATATGACTGAACACTGGAATTGGATGAGCCTTGGTGCCCATCAAATTTCCTGTGTGGCAAAATCATGTGGTTTTTTTTAAGTTATGAGTCTTGTTCCTGTGAATGTGTTTCCAGTTTATATCACAGTTCTGTTGCAAACCAGAATTGTATTTCATTGCTATATACTTTTACTTTTGAAACACAATTCTTAGTTTTTAATGTTGATGTTGTGGTATCAGTGGTGAAGATTGTAAATGCATTTTATTGCTAAGCTGGAATAGATTCACTTGCAAATTTTGCTACAGAGCAGTTGATTAATAATTACTTAAGATCTGATCCTGCAGGTACCTGATTAACTTGTGGTTAAGGTAACATGAGTCACACTATTGATTCAGCTACAAGAGTTGTGGCTGAATATTGCCAGAATATTTCTGCTAGATTCTCTAAGTTCTTGAGATCTGCAACTTTATTTTGGGTTTTCAACAGTTAAGGGTACTTTTGCCTTGGAAATTTTGGGAATGCATGGCCTCAGGCATTTCCACTAGAAATAGGTGAGATCTGTGCCCAGCACTGGTGAGAATCATGGATAAAAAGCTGAAGCCATTTGTAGACTTGAGGAATTTTAGTTGACTTTTCCCGAAATAATGTTTCTTCTTTGACTTGAGTAGGTTTACGGAGTGTGGTTGAGGAGTTGGAGTTGGAAAGAAATCAGCTGCAGGAACAAATACTGTTTCTAGAAGAGCGTTGTCAGGATTTGGAAGATAGATTTCAGCTTCAAGGGAGAATGGAGACTCTTCAGGTGAGCTTTCCACTAATGTCAACCTGATGGTGGAAAAGAACTGTTTTCTTTTCTGTTATGTTGTTATAGCCTTAGCCTGTAGAAAGACAAAAACATCATGTTGCCGCTAGCAGAAATGGCTAAAGCCTCATTTATGCCCATAATTACATTGTCAGAGAGTGTACACATACCACATTACGCTCTGAAATTTCAGCCTGTCACTTCTGTTCAACACATGGAGAAACATGTTTAGGATTGAACTTTGCTGTTTGTTTTAGAGACTTAGTAAAAGACATGATTTTCAGTATTCTTTGTGGAGGCTTCTCAGAAGGTTCGGAGTTAGATTTTGTTATGGCTAACATAAGTCTCCCTCTTCTCACATCCCTTAAGTTTCTTCTCTCTCTTTTTATATCTCTCACGTGTGTATTTAATACCTATAAGTATATATATGCTCATTTACAATAAAAAACTCTATGGAAAACTAATTAATGATTTAATACAATGCAGTCTACACCCCAGGTATCAATTAGATATGTATTTCTATTGTAAAATGATTCAATGAGGCACCACAGTAAATGCTATTTTTAATATTGCCTGACTGGTGAATTGCAATGATGACTTGTGAACCTGATTTTCACTAAGTGGCACAACTGATCTCTCACTCAAAGTCTTTCAGGCCTAGAGCGTTACTCAGAGTCCTCTATCTGCTAAGTTGCATGTATATAAAAAAGAATTAATGATTTTAAGATGAAAGAGAAGCTTATATTAATTATTCCTGGAGAATCTTGTAACAAAGCCTTTCGATGCAGGTAACGTTTGGTGTAGAGGAAGAAGGGCAGCTATTGAGGGCAGTACAGGTGTGTTCTGCCTCCTCCCAAATGCCACCTGGTTTTCATTACTGGTGACAAGTTTGCCATGTTTGTCCTATTTGCTGTTGATTCTCTATGTGTTTTGGTTTTTTTTTTTTTGTTTTGGTTGCTGTTGTATGACTTTTTTTTGTTTTTTTGGTGGTTTTGTTTTTGAATTGATGCAGTGGATCTGACTAGACTAGGAGATTTGTACCATGTTTCAAAACCCAAACAGCTGTGTGAATGAAGCTTGCTTCCTTTCTTTTTTCTGTTCAAAATCCCCCAGATGCAGGTTTTTGCTTTCTTCCAACCTGAAAAAATAGTCAAAACAATTGGCAAGTTTGTCTTCAAAGCAGTAAGGAAAGTACTTTTTCAAGCAGTAGCTTTCCCTGTTGAGAGAAGTAAGCTGCTTTAATCTTCAAAGCAGTAAGGAAAGTACTTTTCCAAGCAGTAGCTTTCCCTGTTGAGATAAGTAAGCTGCCTTAACACAGTGTGTGTGTGTGTTGGTTTGGGTGTACAGCACTCGTCCTTGAGTTCCTGCTTTCATAGCAGTGCTGAAGGAGGTGTTTCAAGGTGGGTTCCATCTGTTTGAACTAACATCACACCTGGACTTGTGATATTAGTAGTGTATTTTGCACTGAGACCTGCTGAAGTGCTAGAATAATGGTCTGACATTACCACGTAGGATGCAGATCTGCTGGAGAGTCAGATTTTCCTGGCTCCAGTTCTCTGCTGCTGCTCTGGATGTTTGTGTGGGATAATAGGATATGGGATAATGCTCTTGATTACTGTTTTGTTACAGAATGAAAACGAACGTTTGCAAACTCAACTCACCCAGTTACGCAACCAACAAACACGAGATGGGGAAAAACATCAAATTCTCATCTCTGGCTTGAATGAGCAGCTCAGAGGGTAAAATGAAGGTTCTTTGCAACTCCATCCACAGTTAGCTCTCTTTGCTTTAAGCTTAAACTCCTAC